ATTAAAAAAAAAAAAAAACAACTGAGCCATCCAGGTGCCCCCCCTCCTTGCTTTTTTTGATTTTTTTTCTATTAGAAATAATAATGCATTTGGCTACCCTAGCACTTAAGTATTTTAATGCATCTCTGAATCTTTTATTAAGGTAAATTCTTAGAATTACTGAATCAAAGGATATAAACATTTTTAAGGCCTTTCTCTCTCTCTCTCTCTCTGTTTTTGTTTTAGAGAGAGAGATCATATAAGAAGGGGAGAGGGGCAGAGAGGGGGAAGAGAGAGAATCTGAAGCAGGCTCCATGCTCAGTGTGGAGCCTAACATAAGGGTCTCAATCCCATGACCCAGGATTATGACCTGAGCTGAAATCAAGAGTCGGATGCTCAACTGATTGAGCCACCCAGGAGCCCCAGAGGCAAATCTTGGTATATGTTGCCAATTAGTCATCTAGGAAAAAATTGTACAGTTTATATTCCAGATAGTTTGGTCAGTTAATACTTTTAATATATATATGCTTTAATATATAATATAATGCTTTCAATATATATATTGATTAACTGTGACTATACCAGTTTTTCCAGATCTTTTTTTTTCTTCATTCAGCAGATTTTGAGTGTTTAGTGCTTTCCAGCACTACAGTAGGCTCTGGGTGTACAAAGTTGAACCAGAAACTCTGGCTTCAGGGGTCCATGGGTTTTCTGAAATTGTACATTTAGTTTTGTGTGAATGTGCATTTTGGGGGGACAAGGGAGACACCACTTTCATTGGATTCTCAAAAGGATATGTGGCCCAAGGAAACACTGTGAATATATTGACACTTTTAATTCTTAAAACAACTCTGGAAAAGAGATAGCATGGATGTTATCTCTGTCTTACCGGTGAGGGATCTGAGGTTTGCAAAGGTTGAATGACTGGCTTTTATTCACATAGCTAGTCAATAGTAGAACCCAGACTAAAACTCAAGTTTCTGTCTATAAATTCGTCTATGGTGACTTCATGAAAAACTGCCAAGTGCTGCTGAATTTGAGTTAGAGCATTTGTGATTTCCAGTTAAGTAATGCTATCAAAAGAGAAAGCTAATAAAGCTAGGCATGATAGGTTCCTAGAGAACTCAAATGGTTTCCATATTCTTTTGGCAATGTTTGCATTGTCCATTCAGTTATTAGTTTGGGGTGTTGTTGTGAATTGATGACAGATATACTGGTATGTAATTTCCAGAATCTACCCGTGCTGTCTGCTTGAAAAGTCAGTATTAACATTACCACTTTATAACTTTGCTTTTGTTCCCCCCATCCCCGCCATATAATGTGTGTTTACATTGGTGAAATCTTAATTGGCTCCTCTTCAGAATTCATAGGTGTGTATTTCATCTGAAAAAGGTATGTCCTTTTATAATTTTACAGTAGTGACTTACGGTGATAGATTTTTCAGAATTGTTTTCCAATTAAATGCTGAACAATGATTTGGCATATTTAGACACTTTACATTAGTTATTTTCAAAGCAGCTCCCTACTGAGAGAAGTGCTGTTTTAGCTGAGCAACCAGACTTTTCAATTATTTGTGATGTTTGTATTTGCCCACATGTCTGCAAGAGGAATTTCATTAAAATATGACCTCACATGGTCCTTTTTATAGCCCACGATAAAGATAGGTTTTCCCTTTGACCCGTTTCTTTACTAGATTTTACATCAGTGAAAGATACTCTTCAAGACCTCTTTGTGAATCATTCTGAGATACTCCACTCAAAAACTTCATTTGTTTATATTGGCATTTTTCTCCTTACACACACACACGCACACGCACACTAATCATACACAAATGAGTGTATATGTGCATACTGTCATATACTTCATGTTTTCCTTTGCTGAATAAATGTAAAAGCATGCTCTTAAAATTTGCTAAAATGTTCTGTTTGTTTGTTTAGTGCCTGTTCTGTGTAGAGTACTCAAACAGGCATAGGTGGGGATAAAAAGGATATAATCAGTATACACATAGCTCTCAAGGCCTGACGGTCTTTTTGAGGAGGTAAGATACTGGTATGAGGTTGTAAGTGGTATAGGCTTAGGTGTCATAGGGAGGTATGGGGAGAAAGCCATGGAACTTCACAGAAAGGGGTGGGCTCTGGTATTTGAGAGGTGTGAGGGGTGGGGAATTCAGGATTACTCTACGGAGGAGAGGGTAGGAGATGGGAAAAATTTTAGGATAGACATTTGTAGTAGACTTTCCAACACAGGCCAGAAAGTCCAGAGGCCAAGAGAGCACAAGATGTGTGCAAACTGCAGGTAGTTGGGTTTGGCTAGAGTATAGGGTGAGAAGATGATAGATAGTTGGGCAAGAGAGAATTGAACTGAAGTTCAGACTGTGAGGAATCCTAAGAGCTTTATGCAGCTAAATGCCATTTTGTATATCTCAGAACTTCGTGTGTAAGACCTCCACACTGTTAATGGAGATTATCTGTGAATGTCTGATTTTAACAGCAAGGAATTTGGTGGCTTTGCAGTATTTGCTGTGAGGTCTCTCACAGCTGTTTGCTGCTGCCCAAGCCTGGACCTTCCTGTGGTTCTTTCTCCCCTCATTGCGGTAGTCTCCTGCTGCCCTTTGTGCATTATCACACTCTGGAAATCTGGAGACCTCTTGCTACCAGTTCTTCTAGTTCCTCTGTAGGAACCCTTTCTAGCAATCTCGTGTCCTAACCCTCCCGCCCTTCTCTGCTCTGTCTCAGTTTTTGCCATTATGAAAATCCTAAATTCCTTGCTGCCTGAAAGGGCCTTGGTGGAAAGGAAGTCTGTGTGGGAGCCATTGTTGGAGGCGACAGCAATTTTCTTCTACTTTGGGAGTGAGAGTATTTCCCTATCTGTCTTTCATGGACTTAGTGTTTCCTGCCGTCTTGGTGTTATGGTTTTGGGGTACCCACTCTGGACTGAGCTCTAGTAAGGGAAAGCTGTTCTTTCTTGTTGAGGATTGGGAAGACATGTTGCTAGTGTCATAACTCAGACTGCTGTTTCTCGTGGAAATAATATAGCTGGCTGTTAATCATGGTTCAGCTGCAATTTATGTTTAAGAAGTTTTAATCAAGATTTAAGAAATTTAACATTGTTTCTTGGGGGGAATTGCATTTCAAGTTTAAAATAACCAATAATATAATACAGGAGACCTTAAACAACTGTGCTTTCTTGTTGTTGTTGTTGTCGTTGTTAGGATTTATCATTTATTCTAATTGCCTAAGTAATCTACAAAAACAATTTAATCATTTAAGTGGACATCTAGAGTGTTTGCAGGTTTTTTGGGTTTGGTCTTATTTTGTTTAGAAACTAATGACCATAAGCACATCTTTTCCAGTTTATTGAGAAATAGCGGCATATATCACTGTAGAAGTTTAAGGCATACAAGCATGATTGTTTGATTCACACATATTGTGAAATGATTACCACAAATAAGTTGGGCTAACATCCATGTTCTCACATAGATAAAAAGAAAAGAAGAAAGAAAAAAATTTTCTTCTTGTGATGAGAACTTTTAGGATTTACTCTCTTAAAGACCTTCCTATGTCATACAGCAGTATTAGCTATAGTCATCACGTTGTACGTTGTATCCCTAGCACTTATTTATAAGCCCATTTTGAAAGCACATTTTTGAAAGGTTTATAGGTTAGAGACCATCTGAACAGTATTGTGGTAGCAGTATTTTTTAAAGCATTCAAGTGGAAATGACTCATCTCTATGGGACCGTTGGGTAATTAATAAACAGTGACACCTGCTAGATGGAGGTTGTATTTTAATCTTTCTAATTATGAAGAGTCTCTAGAATTCCTCATAGAATCTATGGCCTCCAGTGACTTGCATTTCCAAGAATGTTAAAATGAATATTTATCTCAGAGATCTTACAGCTAGAAGTTGTTCTATTTAGGATCATATTTTTGAGTTTTTATGTACATTAAATGAGAACTTTCCTGTGTATTGTAAGCTTTTTTATTTTTGTTTTTAAAAGCAAATTATTCATTTTAAAATTATTTTGTAAATGTTCTTGTATAATTTTCTTTATACAAGGGAAAATTTCTTTATGTAATTAGATAGTCTTTGAAAATAAAGATGGTTAAATTCTTTTATTTTGAAAAATCTTAAAACATTCATTAAAAAGGAAAGAATTATCAACTGAATGAATCCTCCTATAATTATCATCCAAATTCAACTGTTATGAATACAAATTTTAACTTAAGGAAATGTTGGCTTTTTCTTGTGTAATTTTTCCTCTATTTTGCAAACCAGTGTGCTAATTCACAATTTTTATTTTATGCAGATGATGTGATGCCAGCCACTTACTGTGAAATTGACTTAGATAAAGAAAAGAGAGATGCATTTGTGTATGCTATTAAAAATCACTACTGGTACCAGATGTACATAGATGACTTACCAATATGGGGTAGGTATTATATGTTCCATTTAAAGTTTGGGCATACTTGCATAATAAGCATGACTTATGTAATGACTCTTAAGGTGATTGATTGTACACTGAATCAGTAAATGAGTTTTCACTATTTTCCACGGAATTAGTTTAACATCAATTTTATGATCCCTTGTTGATCATACAGTTTTTGACTCTTTATGATCCCTGTTGCTTGAAGGGGTTTTAACGTTGCCAAACCTTATATGATATTCCCTCAAAATACAACTTTTATATAGTATAACTTTGCAGATTTAAGGAATTAAAAGGCATTTTGAACAATCTGAAGTATCTTCCCTTCCCCCATTTTTGTATATCTTATTTTCACTTATTCTGTCATATATAATCAAAGGAACTAAATAAGATTTTGAAGTTTTATTTGGGCTTTCTCTCATGTGGAACTGTGGTAGTATGGTTTTAGATAAGACAGTCTCCTGAGCGACTTGTTTTGCAGGTTCCTAACACTGTATGTTTAAAATTTTTTTCATTTTTTTTTTTAAGATTTTTATTTTTAAGTAATCTCTACACCCTGTTTGAACTTACAGCCCTGAGATCGTGAGTCATGTCTCTACTGCCTGAACCAACCAGGCACCCCTAAAAACATTTTAGTGTTTTTAGCTCTTATTTTTCTGTATTGATGGATAGTTAATATAAACCTATACAAAATCCAAACTCTGCTTGTGCTGGACTTGATTAGATTATTTTAGTTGGTTTTTTTCTTTGAAGGATATATTGACATGCAGCTTTGCAGGAGAACATCAGTATTAGGTAAAGGAATTCACATCTATGTACTGTTGAAATGAGTTAGTATTGCAAGTCAGTATAAAGTAAGTGAATATTCTAAAGAGGGTGGGAAGTGACTATTCGAAAGAATAGTTGAGTACTTACTGCAATTGGCAGGGCATTTGGGGACCACAGCTGCTCTGTGTCCCTTTGTGTCTCATATGAGTGACAGCATGCAAGGCACAGAGCTCTGCCAGATATGTATGCTACTGACGAGGTGGGGAGAGTCCCATAGCTGGTTGAGCTACGTGAAGGTGGTGAACTTGTTAAGAATATGATGAAAAAAAAAAAAAAGAAAAGAAAAAAAAAAAGAATACGATGAAATTCAGTCATTATGCTATGATAACCAGCATGTTTGATCATATTATTCTCTTGGTGGGTTTTTTTCCCCCTTTGGACACCTGTTCTTATGTATAATAAACATTCTGATTCTTTAATTTGTTGGCAGACCACTATATTCTTGAGCAGCAAACTGAAATACTGAACATATCAGACCAGAGTCTAACGTGGTTCTAAGATGAAATTTGTAAGAAAGTCAATCTCAAGATGTAATTGTATGCATCATTGCTACTCTGTTGCATGTTAATTAGGTATAAATAGTAAGCATTTCATATTAATGACTATAATTAGCGTTAACATTAACACAGACATTTCTGTGATCAGCTCTGGGGGTAGCAGGAAGATGTGCTGAATAGTCGCTCAAGATTTGTGAGCCTGTAGTTCAGAAGAACCCATTAGTCAGGGTTTCCTCTGTTTTTGGTGGGAGAGCAAGTTCCTCTCCTGTTCTTTTTCCATTGCTTTTGGGTTTCTTTTATGACCATAGTTTTTTTTTGGTCATTTCTGTGGATTTCCTTAGCAACATGGCAATTGTGCTTTCCTGTTAAAATAAATCTTTTTTAGCCCTGGGATTCCAGGGTCTGTCGTGTTTAGGAAAGATACGTTTGGGTGTCCTAGAATGTCTGAACTACAAAAATTCTTGTCAGAAAAAAATTCTTATTTAGCTTTTTCTTGGGGTAAGTATTTCACAATCTTTTTTTAAAGCCCCTTAGAGAGAGGTGCCTGAGTGGTTCAACCCAGGTCGGTTGAGTGCCTGACTCTTGATTTCGGCTCAGGTCATGATCCCTGGGTTGTGGGATTGAGTCCCATGTTGGGCTCTGCACTGAGCATGGAGCCTGCTTGAGATTCATTCTCTCTCTCTCTCTCTCTCTCTCTCTCTCT